TCAATCATAGAGCACTTTCATTTAGATAAATCATTAAGATGCAGATAAATAAGTTATGAATTGCAAAAACATAGTGTCAAGGGATGGCATAAAATATTGACTGACTATCTAGGTTTCATTATAGGAATATTATAGAGGAAAACCTGGTAACTCACTATAAAGATTAGAAAGAAGCATGCACTTATTTTCACATGACCTTTAAAATGATATGTGTAATTTTTGTTGCAGACTGAGGTTTTTCATTTCTTTTCTAGTATCACTTTACAAATTACAATTTGTCATCAAATTGGAGGGGCTCAGAAGGCATGCCTAATGATTTACATGGCACAGATTATGCACCCGTAGTTTAGGAAATTAGAGTTAGTCTTCGTTTAGCAATTTCCTTGTTTAGTGGCCATTCAACATTATGACAATAAAGGTATTCCGGTTTGGCGCCACGGCAATTCAGTCAGGGAAATGGCAGGGCTCTGATGAGCCCCGCGAAAACAGTGACTGTCGAACCGCCGACAGGTCTGCAGACCGAACCTGTCCTGTAGGGACAGGGGAAAGAGAGGGACACCTAGGACGGCTGGGAGGAGCAGGTAAGCTCCTCGGAGGCCGGAGGAAACCCTCTAAGCCGGTGGCGGGGGTGCGGCAGCCATGGCGGCTGCCTCGAAGCCGGGGCAAACCGGAGAAGCGTTGTGCAGGAGGAAGAAAGAAGAGAAGGGCGAAGTGTTTGGAAGCCGGGTGAGTGACACCAACCCAGGCGGGAACAACGGTAGAACATGGATTTTTACAATTAACCCCTAGCCTTAAATAGCGGCTATGGATCTGTGGGGTAAGAAGATTTTGTAAAATAATTTGCAGGACGAAAGGACCCATTAAGGAGCTTAATGTACTACTGACTGATTTGGAATAATCTTCTAATTGAAACAAATTATAAAATTGAGAAACTTTTTTTAAATTGGAATATTTATTTATTTATCTATTTTATTTATATACCGCCCTTCTCCCAAAGGGACTCGGGGTGGTGTACAGTCAGCATAAAACACACAAATATAAAATTTAAAAACAATTTAAAAATATTAAATAGTTTGGCCCATATCTGATTAAAATAAAACTACTAGATTTAAATGTTTAAAAAATTAAGAATTGACAATTAAAAAATTTTAAAAATTAGGCTAGCCACAACGCTCCCACAACCAGGAGGGACACGGGTCCAATAAACATGTGGCCGCGCTAAGTCTACCCAGAATCCTGTCCATGTCTTCGGGAGTCACCGGGTCAAACTCCTCCCAGATAACACTCTCAAGACCTTCCTCCATCACCCCATCTGAACCTATCCCGTCAGAGTCCAAGCCTTCCCAAATTTGAGTGATTTTGTCATGCAGATACTGCACAAAATCCTCAGCTCTACCTTCCAAGGGGTCTTTCTGCGCTCCCAGATGGAGCAGGGAGTGGGTCACCCTAAACAGGGCAGCTGGGCGGTTATCTGCAGACGCAGTAAGAGCGGAAAAGTAGTTAGACTTTGCCGCTTTTATCGTCACTAGGTAGGTTTTAATATGAGACCTCGTGAGGTGTAGTGGTTTGAAGGTCAAGTCGAAGGAGAGAATGATCTGACCATGACAAGGGCTCGATCACAATATCCCCTACATCAAAATCATTCAGCCACTGGCCAGAGATAAAAACCAGGTCCAGAGTGTGTCCCCCCGTGTGAGTGGGGCCATGAACTAACTGGGTCAGGTCCATGGCCGTCATGGAAGCCATGAACTCCTGAGCCGCCTCAGACGTTTCCCTGATAGATGGCAGGTTGAAATCCCCCATGACCATAAGCCTGGGGGTATCAACCGCCACTTCGGCTATCAGGTTAAGCAGCTCAGGCCAGCAAGCCCATCTGCCCCCCACAGCCCCACTTCACAAGGAGGGACTCACATCCGGCTATCTGAAGCACAGTGGCCTCCCTCGGATCAAGACCTTCCTTAATAACAACCGCCACCCCCCGCCCCTCCCCTGAGACCTTGGCTGATGGAATGCATGGAAACCTGGTGGGCACATTTCAACAAGGGGGACCCTCCCCTCCAGGCCCAATCAGGTCTCCGTAATACCTGCCAGGTCCGCTCCCCCCTCTTGAACGAAATGAGGGGGGCTTTATTTATCACGGACCTGGTGTTGCACAACATCAACCGAAGGCCCGGGCCCTGAGGATCTGCGCAACCCAGGGAACAAGAGCATTGGGGGCCAGAAAATAGCGAATGCGTACTCCCCTAACATATGACCCTCTGCTCCCATATCTGCCCCTCCCACACACAGTACCGATGGAACAGCCCTCATTAATACGGAAACTAGCCCCCTCCTTGACCCCCGACCCCGCACTCCCAGTCACAGAGCCCGCTGTCGGGCTAAGCCCAACCCCTTGTGGGTTACCCCCCTTTAAACTTTACCCCCCTTTAACTTTAAAAGCTAAAAGATCAGAGACAAATGGATGATCACATAATTGACAAAATGGAGAATTGCCGTGACTAAGTGAAAGTGTTTGTGGATTGCTTTCAGCTTGATAGAGGAACAATGTGTTTTGTTTAGATTACTTTGAAAATAACCAAGAGTTTTGGACTTTGGGATTTAACATCTTTGGGAAGTTAAAGGAGAGACAAACGTATGGTTACATAATAGCCATAAAATGGGGATTGCTTTGACTAAGCGGAATGTGGATTGCAGAGTCCCTCCTTCTGTTTGGAAAAGAAACACTTTGAATTGTTATCTACTTTGGATTATTTTGAAACTTTGCATTTTGGAGATTTCTATTCTGTCTTTGGATGATTCTACAAAGAAAGAAGAAATACACTTGATTTATTAAAATTGAAACTAACTGGCTTAGCAACAAAAGGTGTGGCGCAGGAACAAAAGAATTGAAGTTGAACGTTTATGGACAGATAGGGAAATGAAGAAATAAAGCAGATAAAATTAAAGTGTAATGCTAAAGAGCTAAATATATAAATGATTTTTAGATAAAAACAGGAGGGCTCCTGAAGTAATAAAGATGGGAAATAAAAGAAGGTAATATAAAATAGAGGATTGATGTATAGGTGGTTAAAAATGATATTTTTGTTAAAACATAAAAGTATATACTAATATGAGACAAATTTAAGAAAATTTATTGTTTGATGTAACATGTTTTAATTCTAAATTTGTAAACAAATTTGAGAAGGGTAAATATAACTGATTAATGTATTATTGAATGAAAATATAAGATACACAGACTTAAGTAACGAACTGTGACTGAATTTAATATATGCTGGAAATGATAAATACTATGAAATGTGTTGAGAATCAATCTGGAAGAGTATACTGGGGAATTATTATCTAAATAATAGATAAACATACTGTAAGGAAAAAGTTAAAATAAGAGATGCTGGGTACCAGCGAAATAAGAGTTGGAATTCTGGAGATGATGCTGGAAATCAGCCAAAATAAAATATGCTGGAAATCAGCCAAACAATAGTTGGAGGCTTGGAGGAGATGATGCTGGAAATCAGCCAAAATAAAATATGCTGGAAATCAGCCAAACAATAGTTGGAGGCTTGGAGGAGATTATGCTGGAAATCAGCCAAAATAAAAGATGCTGGAAATCAGCCAAACAATAGTTGGAGGTACGAAGATTATGCTGGAAATCAGCCAAAATAATAATATGCTGGAAATCAGCCAAATAATAGTAGGAGATATGGAGGAGGATATGGATTTTGGGATCAATCTGTGTAAAATGAAATGTGTAATAGATGATAAATGTGAGAAAATTAAAGCTAAAGTGATAAAAGTCTAAGATTTAAAGATTTGATGAAATGGGCCTAGAGATTAAGAAATATGGATAGAATTGTGTTCTATAAATTGAAATAAAAATAAAGTTGTATTCAATTTGAAAACAAGATTTGTGGTAATAAAATTGAAAGGTAAATAATTAGATTAAGAGGTTAGAATATTGTTTTAAGATTAATGTTTTGATATTGAGGTTAAAAGATAAAAATGAGAAGTTTAGTTGGAAATTAAATTGGTGGTGATATAATAGAATGGTTTAGATTAAGATGTTAGAATTCAAGTTAAAAAAATTTATGTTTTGAATTTTAAAAGATGTAATGGGAAATTGTGAATGGAGCTGGTTAAAGAAATGTAAGTGATTGTACCTATCTATGACCGGATCGAGACTTCGCTCTTGAAAGATATATTTTATGTTTATGTTTGAAAAAATAAAAAAATATTTAAAAAAAAACATTATGACAATAATGAAAAAAGATTTTTTATGACCAATTCTTGTATTTACAACTTTAGGAAGTCTGTAAAGCAAAAGTGAAGTAACAACATAAGCACAATGGCAGTTTCACTTAGCAACTACCATATTTTTTGGACTATAAAATGCACCTTAGTTTTTGAGGAGGAAAATAAGAAAAAAGCTGATTGGCGCCTCCCGGAATACCCCCAATCAGCTGTTCCCAGAGGTGACTTTAGCAACAGGTTCATTGGTTGTGAGCTCTGCACGTCGCTTTATTTTCAGCCTCTGAAACCTCCCTTTAAGAGGCTGGGCGGGACTACATTTGCTGTATAAAACGCACCCAAATTTTCACTCTCTTTTAGGGGGGAAAATGGTGTGACTTATACTCCAGAAAATACGATACTTTGCTTAACAACCAATTTGCCAATCCTAATTGTGGTAAACAACTATCTATACTGGAGACAAAGTATTTCTGAATGACATTTTCAGTATTCAGAAATGGAAGTTATTTTCCTACCCTTTCTTACAATTCTCATATCTCAAAAATCGGCTATCTTGAATTAAAAGATTCACTTGAACAGAATTCAATTAAAGGAACAAAATTCTTTCTCAGCTCCTATCCTAGCCACAAGCTATCATTAACAATGATCAAACCATAAAGCTAGAATTTAGAAAAATAAAAATCAACTTAAACAGCATAATTTACTTCAAGTCATTCTACTTCCATTGTCAAAAAAGACATTTTAAAAAATCTACTTACTTCTGTGCTTCTTTCAACTATGCTTTAATCCCAATCCAACTAATTCCTGCATATTAAAAAAAAACATGAAAAAAGGTCAATAATTAAAACTTCCAAATGAATAATCAAATAAACTTTACTGAGATAAACACAAGGATACTTATGCAAGGGACCCTGTGCTGCACCCAAATCAGCCATACTTTCCAGTCAGAAGTTGAATACCTTTTTCAACTGATTTGTGGAGCAGAATATGGGGAATACTCCATGGCTTTCTATTCCACTCATTCATTTCCCATTCAAACAACTACAGTGTATAAACACAGCTTCTTAGCATGTTTAAAAAGTGGATTATTTTGCTAAAGCTCAAAACTTTATCACCTCCCTACAGTAATTCAAACTCTGATACAATCTATTCATACAATCCAAAACCGCTTTTGCAGCTTATGACTTTCTGCCAGCTTCCCCCTTGACTTTGGTTGTTGGAAGCTGGCTGTTGCAAATGGTGATTGTGAGACATTGTGATCATTGTAAATGTATGTTGGTCTTGAGGCAACCAAATCATATGACCAGGAGGATGCCATAATTTCAAGAACCAATCATAAATCTTCTTTTTTAGTGCTATTGTAACTTCCGATTGCTAAATGAGCAGTCGGTAAGTGAAGATACTTGTAATAAAGACAGGCTTTGTATCACTTCAGTGATGACTGGCTGTGCTATGAAAGTGTAAATAGTCACCATGGAAATGCTGCCCTAGATTCAAATCCACAGAAAACAGTGAACTGTAGATACTTACATCTAAATTTGGTTGTGCATCTGATTTTACCTTTGATTCTTAATGTATGTAGTTTCTTTAGTAGTATATGGTGAGGAAAATGGTGAGAAGTAAAAAAATTAGAATTTGTACTCCTCTTTAAATTTTCCCATTATAATTTAATTCTTAAATCAAAATATTGAAATTAAACATGTTTTAAGAGTCTTAAAATGGATAGACATCTAGTACTGTAACTAAAATATAATTTTTTAAAAAGGTTTTACCTGCTTGACAGCATGTGGTAGGATGAGGAAATAGTAGTTAGGAGCAATCTATTTACTGGCTGTTGTTCTTTGACAAAAAAAATCCCAAACTGAGCACAACATTGCTTAGTCAATGAGACTAATGAGTTAGCTTTAATCACTTTTAAGGGGAAGCTCATTATGTCGATGACAAACATTGAATATTGCGCCCCAAGGTTTGGCGTACCGTACTAAATTACCTCATTAGCGAAGAAAATATATACAATACTACGGGGGGAAGGAATAAAAGAACCACCCATTACACACGCGGTAGGAACTTACATTACAGGGAACTAGCCTACATGCTTCAATCGCTAATTCTCAACAAGGAAAGTTGCGCGAAGCAGCTTCCTTGAAGTTATATTCAAAGCCTGATGAAGGGCAAAAGCGGGGCAGAGCTCCAAATCCTAAACAGAGCTTCACGTGAAAGCCAATCCGACTGAGCGAGCCGACATTCCTTTCAAACGAACGGGCCCAGGCCAACCTCTTCCGGACCAACACGGCTCTTACCCCTCCAGTCCATCCACCGGGCGCGCTTAACAAAGCAGGAGGAAGCCCATGCATGAGCGGGAAAAGAAGCCTCTGGAGGTCACGCTGAGCCGCGGTCGAGCGCCGAGGGTACGTCACAGCACGTCGCTCGGGACGGGAAAGCAGAAATAAGCTTTCTACAAAGGCCAGGGCCGATAACCCTTCGCACACACTTAGGCCGGTCCAAAGCCCAACCAAGTCACCCGCCGCAAATCAAAGTCTCGGCTGCACAGCGGTGTGACCTGGAGCATCCGGCGCGCCGGTTACGTCACCATTAAAGCGACAGCACCCCCTTTCCTTTTCTCGTCCCGAGTCCCGCCCTCAGTTGGAGGCACGAGTACCGCCGGGCAAGCGGGGGTCGTCTTTGCTGGTGCTGCAGTAGCAGCGGATAGCAGGACAGCTAAGCCTCACCGGTGCATAGTTCCTTCCCTTCGCGTGTAAATGAAGAGGGCGCTCTACTTCCTCCACCTGCGCTTTCCCGATTGCGCCCTTCCCCGCGCGCGTCGTTAGCAGAGCATCGAGCGGAGGCTGCTAAGAGCCGGCCTCTTGGTGGAGACGCGGCGGAATAAAGGAAGCGAGAGCGATGGTCTTCTTTGACCCCGACTGAGTGACGTCCTTCGGGCACGGTTAGTGCCTCAGTTGTTTTTCATTCTTGTCACATGGCCTCATCCTACCAGGAAATAAATGGTCGGGTTCCTCTACGCTAACTCCTGGGTCAACGAGCGCCTTCCGATTTTGTTAAGGACCTTGCGTTGCCTCTAGTTGCGTTTTAACGGTGATCTGTATTCTTTTTATTATTGATGTCAGGTATGCTTCCTTCAGTATCCAGGAAAGAAAAACCCAAATTCAAGCATTTTGAAGAATTTAGTACTTTTACTGAATATGAAATGAATAGCAACCCAGGTAAAGCTGGAAGTGAGCAAAACGCGCGAAATGCATCTACTAAGCTTCCCCCCCCCCCCCCCGTTCATAAATCATCAGCCAATCCAAAGGTCTTCCAAAGGTCAGGTGGCAACACATTTGGCAGCGTCATCCATCAGGAATGTAGGGCAGTTGGTCAGCCGTCCCCTTTTGAAGATCCACTTTCGTTTCTCATGAAGACACATCCTACAAGGAAAAAACACCTCCTGCTTCCCCCCACCCTTTGCTCCATAACTAATCCCTCCCCCCCCCCCGTTTCTTATGGCAGCTGAAGCAGGCAAAGCTGAGGCTGACATTCAGCCCCCCTTGCAGGCTGACAGATGAGCAGAAATAAGGTATCTCAAAAGAATTAAGGATGATTCAAAGTCTACAGTTCTGAGCATTCATTTCTCTAGCTACTTTTCTCTCGAACTATAGTGGGGAGGAAGGTTGTCAAATTGCTCCGAAGTTTTTTTTGTGTGTGCCCTCTCTTTTCCCCCTTCAAAATAATAGATAAGTTATTGGATAAAATACCCAAAGGATAAAATCCTTTGGTAAATAGTATTGAATTTGGGTAAGTATACCTTTGCTAACAGTATTAGTTCCCAAATGAACTAGGAATAAAGGGAGGATGGCATGGGGGCACCTGCAGGATAAAAGTGTGGCAATGCGGTTTCTTCCTCATTCATACAAGCCTGAGATGTTGCAGCATATGTACAAAAAGGCTGGGGCCAGTGGTGGGATTCAGCTAGTTCGCACTGGTTTGGTAGAACCGATAGCTAATGCCCTTGCTTCCCCCAAGCATTTCTTTACCTACCTGATTTCCAGCTCTGTCGCATTTCTCCGTCGCATTTCTTGCCACTGTGTGCAGGGAAAGAAAAGTTTGTGGGACTAAAAAAAAAGTTCAATCAATTCCAACTTCTCGCCAAAAAAAATCGCGCAAAGTTAGAATTGATTGAACTTTTTTTTTAGTCCCACAAACTTGTTTTCCTGCACACGACAGCAAGAAACACGATGGAGAAATGCGATAGACCTGGAAATCAGGTAGGAAAAAAAAATGCTTGGGGAAGTGAGGGCATCTGGGTGGTGGTGGGTGGGGCATCCTCTGTGGCATGGCATGGTGCTGCAATGGAGAAATGGGCAACCGAGCAGCCAACGCGAGGGAAGGAGAAGGCCGCTTTCCCTTTTTTTTCTCCCTGCTCCTCCTCCTTCCTTTGTGCCAGCCTCTCCATTGCAGCGCAGCGCCCAGGATCCACTTGGGGGGGGGGAGAGGGCAGTGGTGACATGTAAAATTTGTTACTACTGGTTCTGTGGGCGTGGCTTGGTGGAGGGGTAATGTGACGGTGGGCGTGGCCAACCTTTTTTTTTTTTACTTTTAAAACCATTTTTTCTACAACCTCTTCAGCTGAGCTGAGTTGCCTGATTGGCAGAGGCTTTTTTTTTCTTTTAAAAACATTTTTTCGGCAGAAGAGGTTGTAGAAAAAATGCTTTAAAAATAAAAAGCCTCTGATGATTGCGTGGCTCAGCTGGGCATGCGGGGAGGCAGGGATTTTTGCTACTGGTTCTCCGAACCACCTGCCGCCATCGCTACTGGATTGGGTGATCCGGTCCGAACCGGGAGCATTTCACCCCTGGGGGGATAATTTAACAACCGATTCACCCAGGGTCAGGTTGGCCATCGTGGGAGGCGTGGCTCATCCTGTATGTGCGGCAGAGCTGGGGGACGGGGATGTGCCATGCTTCCCACAACAGCAAACCTGACCCTGGATGAACTGGTTGTTAAATTATTTGAATCCCATTACTGGCTGGGGCTCACATCCTGATCACATGTTACTTTCATGCTGATGCCTCTGGGAGAGCTTTGCTCCAAAGACAAATGTAAAATGCCCCTTCTGCGCATGCTCAAGATGGCAGCCCGGATCTGAAGCTGCCGATGCCGCAGGGGTGATTTTCTGGCCATTTGGGGTCTTATGGGCCAATTTCAATCTTTCTGGCCCTGGCTCGGCAGAGTGAGCTTTTCGCTGGCTTGCTGAGAGCTTTTTGCTGTCCGGTACGCTGCAGCCAGCGAGTTGGAGCCAGTGTGTGTGGGCGCCGTGGAGAGGACGGCGGCTGTCAGCCTCCGACTTTCTGGTTTGGCTGCCATAAGAAACGGGAGGGAAGAGCGTGGGGGGAGGGAAGCAAGCTGGTGGATTTTTGAAGAAACGAAACCTAAGCACCGAAGTGGCTATCGGGTCAACCGTCATCGCGTTCCTGATTGTTGACGATGCCAGACGTGTGTCCACCTGACCTCTGAGAGACCTTTGGATTGGGTGATTGATGATGGACAGTGGGAGGGGATGCTTTCTATATGCAACTTTCGCGCCTATTGCTTTAGTTTCAGCTTTCCTTGCTTGCGTTCATTTCATCTTCCAGTAAAAGTACATTACTCTATAAAATATGGAGTTTGGCTCATTCTTTCCTGGACTTTGAAGGAAGCACAGCTGACAGCGGCGTTGCCGGGAGGACGCCAGAAGGATGGCATCAGCAGCCTGGGCGGCGGGCGGCCTGTTCGGTGGGTGTTAGCGGTGGCATCCGGAGTGGCGGCGGCCCACATCAGGGCCTGGGAGCCTGTGGAGGACCCAGGGGTGACGTGGATTCTGTCGGCTGCAATGGCGACCGCTGGGACGGCGCCGATGGGAGCGGCAGCAGCCTGGCTGTGGCCTACCTTGATGACGGGTTTTGGAACCCCGAGAGGTGGCATGCGGCGAAGAGGAGGTTTAGGGGTTTTTTATCTAAATCTTTAGCTCAATTTTTAAAGGGTTCGGGGGGGGGAGGGTTTTTTTTTTTAATTGATTTATATGCCGCCCTTCTCCGGAGACTCAGGGCGGCTTACAATGCGTTAAGCAATAGCCTTCATACTTTTGTATATTTATACAAAGTCAGCTTATTGCCCCCACAAACTGGGTCCTCATTTCACCTACCTTAGAAAGGATGGAAGGCTGAGTCAACCTTGAGCCTTGGAGAGATTGGATTGGTTGGATTGGAACTAGGGTTGTGGGTTTGAGGGATAACCCACTGAGGGTGGGGCCTGGTCCGGCTGAGGGTCACGGCATGGGAGGTGCGGGGCTCGGGGTCAAGGAGGGAGCCCTCATCGTTTGTACCGATGAGGGCCATTCCATCAGTACTGTGGGTGGGAGGGGCAGTTATGGTGGGAGCAGGGGGCCATATCCTGTTGCGGGAGTGCGCGCTCGCTGTCTTCAAGTGGTGGCGCGCTCCGGCCCCCAATGCTCTTCTCGTTCCCCGGGTTGCACAGATCCTCAGGGCCCAGGCCTTCGGCTGATGTTATGCAACGCCAGGTCCATGGTAAATAAAGCCCCCCTCATTTGTGATCTTATTCAGGAGGGGGGAGCGGACCTGACGAGTATTACGGAGACCTGGCTGGGCCAGGAGGGGGGTTCCCCCTTGTTGAATTGTGCCCACCTGGTTTCCGCGCATTTCATTAGCCGAGGTCACAGGATAGGGGCGGGGGGGGGTGGCGGTTGTTATAAAAGAAGGTCTTGGTCCGAGGGAGGCCATTGTTCCTCAGATTGCCGGATGTGAGTCCCTCCTTGTGAAGTGGGGTCATGGGGTACAATTGGGCTTGCTGATCATGTAGCTGGCTCCCTGCCACGTGGCGGCGGCCCTGCCCGAACTGCTCAACATTATAGCCGGGGTGGCGGTTGACATCCCCAGGCTTATGGTCATGGGGGATTTCAACCTGCCATCTATCGGCGAAATGTCTGAGACAGCTCGGGCATTCATGGCTTCCATGACGGCTCTGGACCTGACCCAGTTAGTTCATGGCTCTACTCACACGGGGGGAAACACTCTGGACTTGGTTTTTTTTCTCTGGTCAGTGGCTGAGTGATCTTGATATAGGGGATATAGTGATTTTTCCCTTGTCATGGTCAGATCACCCTCTCCTTCTCTTTGACCTTCGAACTGCTACACCCCACCGCAGGGAGGCGGAACTGATGAGGTGGTTCCGCCCCAGGCGCCTGATGGATCCGGATAGGTTCCAGACGGAGCTTGGGCCATTCCCTGAGGCTCTGGCTCACGACTTGGCTGAAGACCTGGTGGCCGCCTGGGATAGGGCGGCCACTGGAGCTTTGGATCAGGTCATGCCTTTGCGGCCTCTGACTTGGCTCCCTGGTTTACCGAGGAGCTGAGGGAGATGAAGCGCCAGAAAAGATGCCTGGAGAGCGGTTCGAGGGCCAGCCTTTCCAAATCTGATCGAACACTGGTGAGGTCTCATATTAAGACCTACCTAGTGGCGATAAAAGCGGCAAAATTTAATTATTTTTCCGCTCTTATTGTGTCATCAGATAACCACTCGGCTGCCCTGTTTAGGGTGACCCGCTTCCCTGATCCATCTGGGAGCGCGGGAGGACCCCTTGGAGAGTAGGGCTGAGGACTTTGTGCAGTATCTGTATGACAAAATCGCTCAAATTCGGGAAGACTTGGACTCTGACTGGGTAGATTCGGGAGGGGTGATGGAGGCAGGTCTTGAGAATGTTATATGGGAGGAGTTTGACCCGGTGACTCCCGAAGACGTGGACAGAATTCTGGGTAGACTTAGCTCAGCCACATGTTTATTGGACCCGTGTCCCTCCTGGTTGGTTCTGGCTTCCCGGGAGTTTACACGAGGCTGGCTCCAGGGGATTATTAATGCTTCATTGAGTGAGGGTGACTTTCCCGCTGCCTTGAAAGAGGCGGTAGTGAGGCCTCTCCTTAAGAAGCCTTCCCTGGACCCGGCAGCGTTAGTAAATTATCGTCCAGTCTCCAACCTCCGCTTTGTGGCGAAGGTTGTTGAGAGTGTGGATGAAACGGTTTATCTAAATCCATTCCAGTCAGGTTTCAGACCTGGGTACAGCACGGAAATGGCATTGGTTGCATTGGTTGATGATCTCTGGAGGGCACGGGACAGGGGTTGTTTCTCTGTCCTGGTCCTATTAGACCTCTCAGCGGCTTTTGATACCATCAACCATGGTATTATGCTGCGCCGGTTGGAAGAGTTGGGGGTGGGGGGCACCGTGTTGCGGTGGTTCTCCTCCTTTCTCTCTGACCGGTTGCAGTCTGTGTTGGCAGGGGGGCAGAGGTCGACCTCGAGGCGCCTTGTGTGCGGGGTGCCACAAGGGTCGGTCCTCTCGCCCCTTCTGTTCAACATTTATGTGAAGCCACTGGGTGAGATCATCCGTGGTTTCGGGGTGAAGTACCACCAGTATGCTGATGACACTCGTCTGTACATCTCCACCCCGGGCCACCCCAATGATGCCCTTGAAGTGATGTCCCGCTGCCTGGAAGCCGTACAGATCTGGATGGGGAGAAACAGACTCGGGCTCAACCCGTCCAAGACCAAGTGGCAGAGATGGAGCTTAAGGACCAATCTCCTAAATGAAAAAGAGTTCACACTCAAATTGAATGAAGAAATCAAACGCTTCTTCTTAGAAAACGGAAACCGAGGGACAGCCAAAGAAATTGTGTGGGACACCATGAAGGCCTATGTCAGAGGAGTAGCTATTTCATATACTGCCTTTAAAAATAAGGAAAAAAGAAAGAGTAGAGAAGAACTTACTCAAAAATTATTACAAACTGAGGTTGAACTACAGCAACGACCGGGAGATGAGGCGACGAAACAACAGTGGTTGATGATGAGACATAGATTGAATCTATTGGACCAGGAGGAGGTAGCTCAAAAAATAAGAAGATCTAAGCACTATTGTTTCGAGAACGCTAACAAGTCGGGGAGATGGCTGGCATATAAATTAAAAAAAGAGAAGGAAAAAAACCAAATACTAGCTTTAGAAGACCCACAGGGCATCCTGTTGACGAAGGAAGAAGACAAATTAGAAAGTATAAGGAAATTTTATGAATGTCTTTACAAAAATGAAGGAATTGAGTTAAACAAGGTAGAACAGTATTTGTTGGAAGCCAACCTTCCTCAAATTCCGGAAGAAGAAAAGGAAATGTTAAATGAAAAGATCACCATAGGGGAGTTAAGAACTGCCTTATCCAAAATAAAGAAGAACAAAACACCAGGCCCTGATGGTCTCCCCGGGGAATTATACCAAAAACTTGATGATGCCCTGAAACTGGAACTGTTAGGAATTCTAAATGATGTTATTGCTGGCATAACAATCCCAGACTCCTGGAGGGAAGCGTATTTGACGATCATTCTGAAAGAAGGTGCCGACCCGAAGCAGATCTCCAACTATAGACCCATCTCACTGCTTAACGCAGATTACAAATTATTTATGACTATAATAGCGGAGAGATTCAAGAAAATTCTAAACCGATGGATACATAAGGATCAAAATGGTTTTCTCCCAGGGAGACAGATTAGAGATAACTTGAGAACAGTCCTAAATACCATTGAATATTATGAACAACACCCTGGAAAACAGATGGCCTTAATGTTTGTCGATGCCCAAAAGGCATTCGACAATTTGAATTGGACCTTCATGATAAACCAAATAGACTTAATGGGATTCGGGACTAATTTTAGGAGGATGATAGAGAATATCTACCAAAATCAGAGGGCAAATATATTAGTAAACGGAGGCAGAACCCAGACATTTCAGATCCAAAGAGGAGTCAGGCAGGGATGTCCCCTATCCCCCTTACTTTACATTCTAGCATTAGAGGTCTTACTTAGAAGGATTAGAACTAATGAAAATATCAAAGGCTTGAAGATTAGGAAGGAAATATTTAAAACACAGGCTTTTGCGGACGACGTTGCCTTCATAATAGAAGACCCATTAGACACTGGCTTAAAATTAATGCAGGAAGTTCAGAATTATGGAGAAGTCGCGGGCCTTAAACTTAATAAGAACAAAACTAAAATAATTGTGAAAAATATGACAAACCTACAAACGAAAGAATTAGAAGATTTACTAGGCCTCCAGGTAGTTAAGAAGATAAAATATCTGGGAATATGGATTACGGCGAGACTTTCTTCATTAAAAGATGATAACTATATCCCTTTATTGCAGAAAACTAATCAAGACCTCGATAGGTGGAGGAGGCTTAAATTGTCCCTGACTGGTAAAATTGTGGCGATCAAAATGAATATTTTACCGAAATTTCTATTTCTATTTCAAAATATACCGATATCACTAGATAAAAAAATTTTTTTGGATTTGAATAAACATATCAGGAATTTTTTGTGGGAGGGCAAGAAATCGAGGATTTCTCTCAAGACACTTCAAGGGAAAAGAAATTTGGGTGGGTTCGGGCTCCCTGACTGGGAATTATACCAAAAGGCGGCAAAAATAATTTGGATAAAGGAGTGGGTCAAATTACAAGAAGGTAGAATTTTGACACTAGAAGGACACGATCTCCTTGAAGGATGGCACGCTTACCTCTGGGATACAAAGGATAGGAGGAAAACTCATTTCTATAAACATAAAATTAGAGAGACATTGATTCGTACGTGGCTGGAAATTAGACAGAAGATATATACCAAGGTTCCTAGCTGGCTGTCGATTATGGATGCTCTAGTGGCCCCAAATAGAAGAGGGAACTATAAAATGGGCACATATAAGGATATCTTGGATGAAGAAGGGAAGCTCAAACCTTTGGAAGTATTGAGGGACCAGGGGTTTATTCTGGATTGGTGGAAATATCTCCAGATTAAGTCTAGATTTCAAGAAGATAGAGATAAATGTGGTATTGAAATGAAATATGGATATTTTGACAAAATTATTTGGGGACCAGATAAGAAAATGTTATCGAAAATCTATAACTTTATACTAGATGAGGATAGAGCCGAAACGATAGCTAAAAATCAGCTAAGCACTTGGGAGAAAAACTTAGGATATGGCCTTAATTTCAATGACTGGGAGATAGCTTGGAACAGAAATTTCAAAATAACGAAATCGGTAACATTCAGGGAAAATCACTACAAAATGTTGCATAGGTGGTACCTAGCCCCGGACAGGCTGGCCAAAATATTTCCAAACTCCTCTGCTTTATGTTGGAAATGTGGAAAGACGGTCGGCACCTTTTATCATCTGGGGTGGACTTGCCCTGAGACCAAAAAGTTTTGGTTAAAGATTCGACTCTGGCTCTCGGAAATAATGGGACAGGAGATAGCCTTGGCCCCGGAATCCTTCCTCTTAGGTATGATTGAAGATGGTCTCGACAACAATAAAACCCAACTGGCAATTCAAATTATTACTGCAGCTAGATTAGCCTTTGTGAAACTCTGGAAATCCAACTCTACCCCCTCTGAAGAAATATTAATAAATAAAATTCTAGAGTGCGCAGAGATGGCTAAATTGACGAGCGAGCTAAAAAATGAAGAGAACTCTAAGTACTACGAAGTATGGTGAATGTGGTATAACTGGTTAAAGAATAGGATAAAAATATGATAATAGGTTATGATTTGTTAGACACCCGAAATGGACTTAATTGTATAGAAATGTAGAGAATTGTATAGAACTGTATATTGTATAGTTATGGATGGAATTCATCTAATGTTTGATCTATGAAATGTGTAAACACTGCACCTCGGATCAAGATTGTGATTGTACATTGTCTTTTTAAAAAATTGGAAAATTCAATAAAGTATTTAAAAAAAAAAAAGAAAAGTGTAATAGATGATAAGTTGGATAAAATCAAAGATAAATTGATAAAGTTTAAGATATTAAGAATCGAGGAAAGGGTCAAGAGATTAAGAATTAGATGGAATTTTATCTTATAAAGTGTAATAAAATGGAATGGTATGGAATTTGAAATTAAGATTTGTGGTGATAAAATTGTAGGGTAAATAATTAGAATAAGAGGTTAGAATATTGTTAAAAAATTTTTTTGATGCTGATGGTAAAAGATATAAGGTGAAGAAGAAAAGATATAATTAAGTTTGATATATAGATATAAAAATGAGTAAAAGTTAATTTGAAATTAAAATTGTATTGATATAATGGATTTGATTAGATGAAGATGTTAGAATTTATGTTAAAACTTGCTTTTTTATGTTTTGAATTTCCATTTGTAAAAGATGTAATGGGAAATTGTGAATGGAGCTTGTTAAAGAAATGTAAGCGTGGTAACCATCTATGGACCGGATCGAGACTCTGCTCTTGAAAGTTATATTTTATGTTTAAGTTTGAAAAAAAATTAAAAAAAAAATTACACACAAAAAAAGGAGCATTTTTCAGGCAAGCATTTCTATCCTCCCAAAACTTATATTTTGTACTTTAGCTTACATAGATAATATGCACGTTTGAAAATAATGTTATATTTATATGAACCATTTGAATAGATTACATTTTTCCCACTGTTTAGGTCAATCTTGTTGGAATTACAATAGTCTAATCCTGAAGAAAATGAAAATATATTTGGATATTCTATAGGAGTCACGGTGGCGCAGTGGTTACAGTGCAGTACCTCAGGCTACTTCTGCTGATCACCGGCTGCCAGCAGTTTGGCAGATTGAATCTCACCAGGCTCAAGGTTGACTCAGCCTTCCATCCTTCGGAGGTTGGTAAAATGAGGACCCAGATTGTTGGGGGCAATATGCTGACTCTGTAAACTGCTTAGAGAGGGCTGTAAAGCAGTGTGAAGCAATATATAAGTCTAAGTGCTATTGCTATTGCTAATGCTATTTTTAAGATCTTGCCTTTTTCCCCTCCTTTACATTTTTTTCAATGGAACTACAAATGTCAGTTTCTGGTGCTGAAATTATATTTGGTTTTCTTTTTCTTTTATACTTATTTATTATATTTATATTTATTCTTTTATATTTATTAACAAACTCTTTCTATAGCTGTTATCATTAATAAATATTAAGTGTGATGTAATTAATAATGCATAGAATCAGACTCAATGTGTAGCTCCGAGGACAATAGACTAATTAGGACTGTGGGCTGCAGAGTCAATAGATGGCAGGAAAGAGTTATATTTTATACATTTCTTTGCTGCCAAATGCAGATTTTTAACAGATTAACAAAGTTGGAAGGGACCTTGCAGGTGATCTAGTCCAACCCCCCCACCCTGCCCAAGCAGCAGACCCTACACCATTTCTGACAAATGGCAGTCCAATCTCTTCTTGAAAGCTTCCAGTGATGAAACTCCCACAATTTTTGAAGGCAAGCTGTTCCATTGGTTGATTGCTCTCACTGTCAGAAAATTTCTCCTTATTTCCAGGTTGAATCTCCTTAATCAGTTTCCATCCATTATTCTTTGTCTGGCCTTCAGGTGCTTTGGAAAGTAGGTTAACCCCCTCCTCTCTGTGGCAGCCCCTTACATTTTGGAACACTCCTATTATGTCTCCCCTGGTCCTTCTCTTCACTAGACTAGCCATGCCTAGTTTCTTCAACCATTCATTGTATGTTTTAGCCCAGTCCCCTAATCTTCTTGGTTGCTCTTTTTTGCACTCTTTCCAGAGTCTCAACATCCTTTTTATAGTGTGGTGACCAAAACTGGATGCTGTATTCTAGGTGTGGTCTTACTAAGGCTTTATAAAGTGGTATTAGTACATCACTTGTTCTTGATTGTATCCCTCTGTTAATGCAATTTAAGATTGCATTGGCTTTTTTTTGGCTGCTGCCACACACGGTTAGCTCATATTTATTTGGTTTTCCACTAAGACTCCAAGATCCCTCTCACAGTTACTGCTATTAACCCTGGTTTCATCCAGTCTATATGTGTACTTTTAGTTTTTCTTGCCTAAGTGTAAGACTTTACTTTTCTTTACATTGAATTACATTTTGTTAGATAGTGCCCAGTGTTCAAGTCTGTCAAGGTTCATCTGGATCTTGATCTAGGTGTTGGCTATTCCTTCCATCTTATATCATCTGCAAATTTGGTAAGTTTCTCTTCTAAGGTGGTACTGGACTGCTTATTTCCCTACTCATTTCCCTACTCATTGAGTACGGTTGTCAGCCAGTTACAAATGCATCTGATGGTGATGCTATCTATCCCAGTTTTTCCTAGCTTACAAAAAAGTAGGTTGTGGTCTACTTCATCGAATGCCTTGCTGAAGTCTTAGTATATTATATCCACAGTATTTCACTCGTCTAGCAACTTAGTCACTGTATTGAAGAATGAAATAAGATTGGTTGGCATGATCTGTTTTTAACAAACCTGTGCTGACTTTTAGCTATTACTTTACTTGTTACTAGATGTTGGCAGATCTGTTTTTTTATTATCTTTTCCAGTATCTTCCTGGGTATTGACGTTAGGCTGACCCAGTGGTGAAATCCTCTGCCAGTCGCCACTGGTTTGCAGCCTGCGCATATGTGCTAGAAGTGCGTTGTGTGCATGCATGCACAATGCATGTTCGATGCATGCTGCACGCATGCATGCACAGCCTGCACCAGACACACACTATGCGTGCATGCACAATCTGCACCAAATGCGCGCTTTTGGATTTCCTGCTTTTTTTTTTTTTTACTTTTTAAAACATTTTTAACTACTGGTTCACCGGTAGTTGAACGATTATCTGACCTTTTTTTTTTTTTAACTTTTAAAGCATTTTTTTACTACTGGTTTGGGCAAATCAGCCCGAGCCGGTAGCATTTCACCCCTGGGCTGACCGGTCTGTAGTTTCCTGGGTCTGTGTTTTTTTCCCTTTTTTGAAGATGGGAACCACATCAGCTCTTTTCTAGTCCTGTGGTAATTCCCCGGTGCTCCTCAGGCTTAATTTGTTGCCTTCACTTCCCTTGTTTGCTGCTCTGGCCTTTTGTTGTTTTCTCTGCCAGCTCCCTTCTATCCTTTGGTGCTCTGGTCTTTTCAGCCTCGTCCCTGCTCTGGTCAGCTCTCTTGGCCTGCCGTGCAGCTTTCTGGACAGCTCAGCTCTGCTGACCGGTTTGCTCCAGTCAGCTCCACTGTCGCTTTCCCCGTTGCTCTCAGACTCTGCTCACGTGCTGCCCCGTGCTGCTGCTGGTTCTCTCTTTCCTCCTGTGTTGCCGCTGCTTTTTGCTCTGGAGCCACGTAGCTCCCATTTGCCATCAGCAGACAGGACTGCCTGGATGGTCCCCAGCAAGCTTGTCTTTCTCTTTCCTTCCTCCCTGCTCTGCTCGCTCACTGGCTCACCTTTTTGTTGTCTGCCGGTCATTGCCCTGCCCTCGATCGGCTGGCCTCTTTGCCCCACAGCTGTTTTTTCTCCCTGCTTCGCAGCTGGCTCTACTCGCTCACCAGCTCGCCTCGTTGTTCTCCACCAGTTGGCTTTGCTGCCTGCAGTCAGTTTGTCTCTCTACTCATCTCACTTTGATGGGCCTCTGGTCTCTTGGGTAGGCCTCTAGGGTGGAGTTGGGCTTCTGTCCCTTTTAATTTTTCCAATCTTCCTCTCCTTCTTCTATGACTTATCGTTCCACCTCTCCTCCTACCGTTTTATTTTATTTTAGTAGCAACTTTTCTGCCGGTGATGTGACTATGCTTCCTCCGTTGTCACCATCTTGAATTGGTAAGTGACGTTCAATGATCTGAAAAGCGGTCCCTGCACTTCTAGGAATACACTAGAAAGAAGATGATTCAATAGTTTGCAGAGTCCATTGAGTCTCCTTTGTTTGGTGTTGGCATAATTGATCTCTTCCATCCTGTTGGCCGCTGTTTCCAGATATGCTGGTATATTGCAGAATTAATTAAACTAGAATTCTCAGCTCAAAATCTATGTGAATAGGATTATTATTTCCTTGCATAAATTGAAAGGAATGTAGAAAATAGGAAGGAAATTTGTTCCCCAAAGATAAACATTGGGAAAAGTAACAAAGTGGCACATAACCTAACCATCTTTTTTCTGCGATGATAGTTGTTTTCATTGTTAAACACTATTTGTTCAGGGTAAGTAAGATTGTTGTGAAATTACCCTGTATATTTTAAATAAGTTTGACGCTTCCTTTTCACTTGACATTTTCTTTTTTGTTTCTAGAAAAAAAAAATGAGTGGAGGATTAGCACCAAGCAAAAGCACAGTTTATGTATCTAATTTGCCCTTTTCATTGACAAACAATGACTTGTACAGAGTAAGTATACTTTAAAATTAAACATTAGAATTGAATCTATCTTTGTGTGAATAATCATAGAACATTTATATTTACTTCTATGTTTTGTGAAGTATTTACTTTCTTATTTTTATATCTAACCTAAATAACTATATTTTTTCTGTCTTTTCAGATTTTTTCAAAATATGGGAAAGTAGTTAAGTAAGTATAAATATCGAATTGTATATAGCTTATTCTTTAATGTTGTGTCTAATAATAACAACACCCTCGATTTAACAAGATCTTTTCACATGTGTAATTTTTGTAATAGGATACTAAGCCAGGTGCTTATTTGTAATGTTACTGCCACACTTGGTAAGAACTTTCTATAAAAATATTCTATTCATAGGTTGTGCTTTTCTAGGGGAGGGGATTCTTCAAAAGTACTTATTTACCATTTCTGTGTTATGGTATTTATATTACATTTAGGGGTTATGTTGTATATATATATATATATATATATATATACAGATGCAGGTGGACAGGCAGATAACTAGTCAAACGAACAAACAGGCACCCTACTACGCAGCAACAAAATTATTGGCTCACAAGAAATCGAACCACGTCTCAGTAACAACAGCCAGCCACTCAAACTATCAAACAAGCCAAAACCAGATCATCACTCAGAAGCACCCACATAAACAACTCTAATCCTAATCTGCATCACACAGATGGTAATTACAGTATATCACAGAAGCGAGTACATCCCTTCACATTTTGTAAATATTTAAGTATGTCTTTTCATGTGACAACACTGAAGAAATGACACTAAGTTACAATGTAAAGTAGTGAGTATACAGCTTGTATAACAATGTAAATGTGCTGTCCCCTCAAAATAGCACAACACACAGCCATTAATGTCTAAACTCCTGGGAACAAAAGTGAGTACACCCCTGAGTGATAATGTCCAAATGGGGCCCAAAATGTCAATATTTTGTGTGGCCACCATTATTTTCCAGCACTACCTTAACCCTCTTGGGCATAGAGTTCACCAGAGCTTCACAGGTTGCCACTGGAGTCCTCTTCCACTCCTCCATGATGATGTCACAGAACTGGTGGATGTTAGAGACCTTGCGCACCTCCACCTTCCGTTTCAGGATGCCCCACAGATGCTCAATAGGGTTTAGGTCTGAAGACATGCTTGGCCAGTCCATCACCTTTTCGGTTGCGCTGTTTAGTCAATTCATGTCTGGGATTTCCTCGCCTGCTTGTCAGGGACTGAGCGTCATATTTCTTTAAATTTGCATAGGTCACGCCTCCTTTGCCTTCTAGATCCCCAGTTGTTTTCGCTCAGTCTTCTTGTAGGGACCTGTTTTAAACTGCTCTGGCAGTTAGATAGGTGTTAGAGAGGCTTTAGGTTTTATTATTTTCTCTCTTCTCCTAACTAGTGGGAGCTGAAGAGTGCAGGTTCCGGCTGCCATTGCAGCTGGAGCTGCTTTACGTTGCTCGTGGTGGGTGAATGACTTTGGGGCTCCAGGTCACCCCCTCCACCTCGCTTTTCAGCAGCTGGAGGAGTTTATCCCGGCTGGGATACTCTGGAAGGCGCAGAGCTGCTGATTTGGCTGCCGGCAAGCCACGGGTCACCCGATATGCCGGATTAACCGCGGCCGCCATTTTAGGCTCCCGTTAGAGTAGGGCGTCACTGCCCGGGGCTCCGAGGCAAACTCTGAGGAGATTCTTCACTGATTGGCGCTTGAAGAGCATTTTGCTCTAGCGCATTGCCAGCCTTGGGACTGACCCACACTGAAGACCCCAGTTGGTGGAAATGTCTGGCAGCGGAGGAGTGCAAGAAGCAGGTGGATTGCTTCGCCCCAAATTGCTGACAGGTTTGACGGTCCCAGCGGCGGGAGGACATTGTTTCCTTCTCCACAGCTAATTTCAGTCTGTACAGAGGGCAGCGATAGGAGGGCTTAGCCCACGCTTTGAATAGTCAGCTGCTGGCGTCGCTGGAGTGGAAGGAGACTTATTCAAGAGTTCCCAGCACAGCAGCCAGAGAGCTAGGAGAGCTTTGCTCTAATGCCAGTTTGTATCTTTCTGGGAAGGAGTTGGCAGTTAATTTAGGCGCCAACTGTGCTATTGCTTCAGAGACGCAGGCCTTGAAGTGACTTTTAAAATGGCTGACCCAGAGTTCTCCTCAGACGTGGAACAGCCCCCGACTCCTCCCAGAGCTAAGAAGACCTCTAAATCTAGGTCTAAGAGCTCTTCTTCCTTTTCCAGTAGGAGGGAGCCTAACCAAGGAGCTCCTAGATCATCCATTGAGGAAAGGGATGCCCAGAGACGGCATAATGCCCTGAAAAGACAGTTTGAACGGGCCAAGAAGCAGGTCCAACCTATTCCTGAACCACCACCTTCTCAATTTGGAGGAGGAGATGTTGTTACTCAGTCTGTAGTGGCCAAGCCTCCTTCTGTTACAGCCTTAGAGCTTCAAGGGTGATGATCTGTCCCCGTACCCACACACACACACACAGCCAGTCGAGGGTTAAGGAAACACTTTGGAACGCACCCAGTTCTTATCTCCCCACTTGGCAGCGATAGACACACCGTCTGCCAAGGGACTTTATTTTCACAAACAGACAGATAAGATACGAACGTTCAAGAAAGTCCAAACAGAAATAATATTCCTCCCAGCAGTTCCGGACGAGGCTTTAGTGACTGTCCAAGGTTTTGCTTTGTTCGTCACAAGGATCCTTTGACCACTACCCTCTATTATATAGTCTCTGGGGTGTGGTCCAGTGACTCAGTGCTAATCCCTAGCACGCCTCCCAAGCTGCTGCAAACGTTTATCACGCCTTCGGAGGCGTGCGTCCAGGAATGATGTTTCATTATCACTTTGACTTGAATCAGCTGTCTCCTCTCCCTCGACTGGCACTTGAGACAATGCCAGAGGGGAGGGGCCTGGAGAGGGAGGCCTGGCTGACTCCTCTTCCTCATGCTCGGAGCTTTCTTCCTCCGATGGGACAGGCTCAGAGGGCGGGGCCACAACAGGTGTCAGGAGAAAGACCCAGTACCTGCCCTGGAGTCCCTTGGGGAAGCACAAGCACGGCAGCCAGGAGCCAGAATGGCACCAGAGGCCACTTATACCCCGACCGCAGCGGGGCTCCGCGCAGGGGTGGAGCAAGGACAAAGCCAGTCCTTTGATTTTCAGATTTTACTGACAAATGCATTAGCACAGGCTTTGGCAGCAGGCCTTAATCCGCATGGCCATATGCAACCACCCTTGACGGGTTGTCAGCCTCAACCCTCCATTCAATCGAGGCATCATCCTTTAACTATCACCCAGCAAGAATCAGTCTGCAGCGAAGATTCATGGCAGGAGGAAGGAGACCAAGGGGACCAGGAATTTTTGGAAGATGACAGAGCACTGCCAGATAAGCCGACCTTCGCAACCCTTTTCCGTCCATCTGTGTTCAAGACATTGTTACGCAAGGCAAAATTAGCAAGTAACATGGGGTCAGTAGAGAGTTCGGGGGATCAGTAGAGGGCTCGCAGACGTCTCAGAACAAATTCTTTGCAGTTCCCGCCCCTGACCATGATTTTATTCCGTACCCAGAATTATTTTCCGAAGTCATTAAGAGGCAGTGGGATCACCCCGGGGCCTTTTCTGCTCCCACGGGTCATGACAAAAGGACCTATTGTGTAGACCCAGTAATAGACAGGCTGTTAGCTTTTCCCATGGTAGATCCACCTGTGGTGAGTTTAACTTCCTCTACTGTTTTGTCTAGTGATGCTGCGGAAGTGTTAAGAACTGAGGATAGACAAGCGGAGGTTTCCTTTAGGAAGACACACCAAGCAGCTGCTTAGGCGGTAAAAGCAGCGACCTCTGCTTCCTTTTTTAATCACGCTAATTTGATCTGGTTGAAACAATTGTGTGATCGTCTTCCTCCAGACGATTTACGCCTCCAGCAGGATATCAATAAATGGTTGCTGCTGCCGAGTATTCGGCAGATGCATCTCTAGATACTGCAAAATTCGCGGTAAGGGCTATGGCTTCTAATGTAACATCTAGGAGGCTCCTCTGGTTACGCCCTTGGCGTGCAGATTTAAAATCAAAATGGAAATTGGCCTCCGCCCCCTATAAGGGAGCGGACCTGTTTGGAGCAGCATTGGAACCTATACTTGTAGAGGGTAAGGATAAACGGAAGGTGCTTCCGGTGTCCTATCGGAGACCAAACCACAGGTTCACACCGTACCCTCAGAGACAGCCTTTTCGCCAGGACTCAGGACCCAGTGGGTCCTACTTTTCTAGGACTTACCCCCAGGGGTTTGACAGAAATTCAGATAGGCAGTCCTTTCAGGACAGAGGTAGATACCACTGTGCCCCAAGGAGACCCTATAGAGGAGAAGGATCCGGAGCAGGATCCAGACCAGTTAGGTGAGGCAAGTGACTTGCAATCCCCTCTTCCCATTGGTGGACATCTCAGTCACTTCATCCATCAGTGGGAAACAACCACGTCCGAAGATTGGATACTTCGGATGGTGAGGCTGGGTCTCACCTTAGAATTCAGGGCCACACCTCCCAACCGCTTCCTGACTTGCCCAATGGCCAGACAGCTGGAGAATCGTCAGCAACTGTCCAAGGAAATTCAGCATTTGTTAGAAATAGGTGCAATAGAGCCAGTTCCAGCAGGACAGGAAGGGTCTGGGGTTTATTCGATTCTGTTTTTGGTCGCCAAATCTTCGGGGGGCTGGAGAGGCATCTTGAACCTAAAGTTCATCAACAAATTCATTCTGTACAAGAGATTCAAGATGCATTCTCTCCGGTCAATATTGGCCTGTGTGAGACAGGGAGATGTCATAACATCCCTGAATTTGCAGGAAGCATATCTCCACGTGCCCATACATCCGCAACACCACAGATTTCTGAGATTTGCCTTTGCCGGCAAGCATTATCAATATCGGGCCATGCCGTTCAGCCTGTCATCAGCCCCACGTACCTTCACAAAGTTGCTGGCAGCGGTGGCGGCTTCGATTCGTCTCGTCCCAATTCGACTGTTGTGTTACCTGGACGATATATTGCTTCTGTCTCCCTCACATCAGCAGGCCTTACGAGATCTACAGACTGTATGCCGCATTCTCGATCTTCACGGTTTCTCCATCAACCGGAAGAAGAGTCACCTGCAGCCCATGACGCGCATTACTCATCTCGGGGCTGTGATCGATTCCATACAAGGCCAGGTTTTTTTGTCGCCAGAAAGGCAACAGGACATCAGGGCTCTGGTGGACCATGTTTTAGCAAAGAGGCAGGTAACGTTGCACACCTTATTGCAACTGCTCGGCAAATTTATTTCCTGTATTGCAATAGTGCCCTGGGCACGCAGACATGCCCGCCAGTACAGTGGTTCCTGCTACCAGCGCAGAGAGCCAGCCGCAGTGCATCGAATGCCAAGGTGAGGTTACCGGACAAGGTACGTGCTTCCCTTCGATGGTGGGCGTCTGGGGCCATACAGAAGGGGTGCCTTTTCCAAGAGCCCACTTGGTTAGTGGTAACATCAGACGCGAGCCTGACCGGCTGGGGCGCTCATCTGGGGGCCCAGGTGGTCCAGGGACAGGGGTCACAGGTGGAGGCCAAGTTCAGTATCAATTGGCTGGAGCTGAGGGCTGTCCATCTCGCCCTCCGTCATTTCCAGGACATTCTATTACATCAACATGTTCTGGTCTTAACGGACAATGTGACCACAAAGGCCCATATAAATCGAGAGGGGGGCACTCAATCCCGGTCCCTGTTGAAGGAGATGGACAATCTGTTCAGCTGGGTAGAGAACCACTTAGTATCTGTTCGAGCAGAGCACATTTTGGGAGCTTCAAACGTTCGGGCTGACTGGCTGAGCCAGACACAGCTGGACCCATCAGAGTGGATGCTCCATCCGGACCTGTTCCGGGAACTGGTGAAGAAGTTCGGCCAGCCATCTGTCGACCTGTTTGCCTGTCCAGACAACGCACAACTCCCGAAATTCAGTCTCACGTTTTCTGAGCCCGGGGGCAATGGACTACAACGCTCTGTCTTGCCTATGGCCTGTTATACGCTTTCCCCCCAATCCGAGATTGGTGTCCGAGAGGGCAGAGATGTTACTGGTTGTGCCTCATTGGCCGAGATGCCCATGGTTCGCTGACCTGGTGGGCCTTTCTGTGTCACAGCTCTGGTGAATTCCTCAGGGGAGGATCTCTCTCAGCCAGGGGGCCGTATTACACCCAGACCCCCAGTGGCTGCAATTAACCGTGTGGCATTTGAGAGGATCCTCCTGAGGAAAGACAATTTGTCAAGGAAGGTGATTCGCACCATCCAGGCTGCCAGGCGGCCTTCCACCACAAGAATCTATGAGGCATCGTGGAGAATATTTTGTTTTTGGTGTTCGCATAACCATGTGGATCCTACTTCAGCTTCTGTGCCTGACGTTTTAAATTTTTTGCAGGAGGGCCTAGACAAGGGACTGGCTCCAGCAACCCTGAGGCGGCAGGTGGCAGCCTTGTCGACCGTTTTGTCCCGGGACGGTTCCCACTCTTTGACTCAGGACCCAAGGATTCGGGGGGTTTTGCAGGGGGCCACTAATATCAGGCCTCCAGTGGTCCACAGATTTCCTACATGGGATTTGACATTAGTCCTGCAGGTCCTTACGGCTTCCCCATTCGAACCTCTGGCATCAGTTAGTCTTAGACTTGTATCACTTAAAGTGGCCTTTCTTCTGGCAGTTACATCAGCCAGGAGAGTTTCTGAACTGGCTGCCTTGTCGGTCAGGAAGGATTTGTGTATTTTCAGGCCCAACACGGTTGTTCTTAGGCTTTTTTTTTTTTTTTTTTAATTTGATTTATATGCCGCCCTTCTCCGAAGACTCAGGGTGGCTTACAATGTGCTCAGCAATAGCCTTCATCCTTTTGTATATTTATACAAAGTCAGCTTATTGCCCCCACAAACTGGGTCCTCATTTCACCTACCTTAGAAAGGATGGAAGGCTGAGTCAACCTTGAGCCTTGGCGAGATTCGAACCCTGCAGTAATTGCAGGCAGCTGGTCTTAAGCAGCTTAATAACAGGGTGCCTTAAACCCTTGTACTACCAAGGCTTGACCCCTCATTCATGCCAAAAGTGAATTCCAGCTTCCATCATGCCCAGGAGATTGTTTTACTGGACTTTTGTCCCTCCCCCAGGCATCAGAGGTGCAATGGCACATGTTGGATGTTACGAGGGCACTATTGCGCTACATAGCTAGAACAGCCTCCTTTCGTAGAACAGAGGCTCTCTTAGTGTCTTTTAACCTTGCCTCAATGGGACAGAAGGTTTCTTCTAGTACTGTCGCACGTTGGATTAAGGCTTGCATATCATTAGCCTATAGTTCCAAAGGCAGACCAGTCCATGGTAGGGTGTGGGCTCACTCTACGAGAAGTGCGGCTACTTCGGCAGCCTGAGCTACGCAGGCATCAGTCCTGGACAATTGCAGAGCTGCCACTGGGACAACATTGACTCCGTTCGTCAGACATTATAAATTAGACAGTTATGCATCAGCCGAAGCTTCCTTTGGGCATAGAGTCTTGCAGCGAGTCCATTCAGATGCAGACGTGGGGTGCAGTCAGCCTCCCTCCCCATAAAGTGTGTTGCTTGGGTATATCCCAGACATGAATTGACTAAGCAGCGCAACAGAAAATGGACGTTGGCTTACCTGAACGTCCTTTTTCATTGCGGTTGCGTCTCAATTCATCCCGCCCTTCCGGCTGACTGAGCTTGGGGGCCGGGGAGTGTTTTTCTCTTTCTTATACATAGGTCACATTGGAGGAAGAAGCTTTTGCGGAACAACTGGGGATCTAGGAGGCAAAGGAGGCGTGACCTATGCAAATTTAAAGAAATATGACGCTCAGTCTCTGACAAGCAGGTGAGGAAATCCCAGACATGAATTGAGATGCAGCAGAACAAAAAAGGACGTTCAGGTAAGCCAACGTCCATTCACCCTCAGCTTCTTTAGCAAAGCAGTGGTCATTTTGGAGGTGTGCTTGGGGTCATTATCATGTTGGAATAGTGCTCTGCGGCCCAGTTTCTGAAGGGAGGGCATCATGCTCTGCTTCAGTATGTCACATTACATGTTGGCTTTCATGGGTCCCTCAATGAACTGTAGCTCCCCAGTGCTGGCAGCACTCATGCAGCCTTAGACCATGACATTCCCACCACCATGCTTGACTGTAGGTAAGACACACTTCTCTTTGTACTCCTCACCTGGTTACCGCCACACATGCTTGACACCATTTGAACCAAATAAGTTTATCTTGGTCTCATCGGACCACAGGACATGGTTCCAGAAATTCATGTCCTTAGTCTACTTGTCTGCAGCAAAATGTTTGCGGGCTTTCTTGTGCATCATCTTTAGAAGAGTCTTCCTACTGGGATGACAGCCTCTCTGGTCACTCCTCCCTTGTCTGGTGCTTCCCCAGTTCAGCGAAAGTCAATCGATGCATAGACTTGTGTCCTGTAAAAGAGGAGCCCCTCCCAGACTGTGGACCAGACCTTAGTAAGGGTGGGGCTGGATGCTCTCTTCCAGCTCTACTAGAAATGGCGTTCAGGTAGGATCAACACCCATTCTCCCTAGAGCTGGATCGAGAGCATCCAGAGTGGGACATACCAAAGCCGGCCTGTCCCTTTAATGGGTGGGTAGTGTCTGGTCTCAAGTCCACCTGGCATTATGGACCCTCTGGAGGACTCTTCTCCCAAAAGCCGCTTCCGCTGAAGCGTAGGTGTCCAACTTATAATGCCGAATGAATGATGAGGGGGAGGACCATGTAGCCGCTCGACACACCTTCTCGATGGAGGCCTGTGTCACCCATGCTGCTGTGGTAGCCACACTCCTAGTGGAGTGAGCCGTTACTCAGCTGGGAGTTGGGAGGGCGTGAACCCTCATATGCCTTGGCTATGCAGGCCCTCAGCCACCGACCCACCGTTAAAGGAGTGACCCTGTTGCCTAATGTTGATAGTTGGAATGACAAATAAGGATTCCATCCGTTGGAATGAAGACGTACGCTTGATATAAATACGGAGGACCCTTCTGACATCCAAGGTATGTCACCTGTGTTCAAGAGCATGTCGTGGCTCCAGGCTGAAGTTTGGTAGGACCAACTCCTGTGCCCTGTGAAACCAAGTGTTTATCTTGGGAATTAAATAAAGGTCCAGCTGCAGGATAACTCTGTCCTGGTGAAAGATACATAAGTCATTGTCTTATTGATAAGGCCGCCAGTTCTGAGATCCTGTGAGCTGAAGTGATGGCAATGAGAAATGCCACGTTGAGTGTTAGAAAACGCAGTGTGGCTAACAGTAAAGGTTCAAAGGGGCAGACAGTGAGGGCTTGCAAAACCTTAGTCAGGTCCCAGGTGGGATACCTGTGAACAACTGGTGGGCACAAATTAGTACCTCCCCTAAGGAATCTACGTACAGTGGGATGTCTAGAAAGTGATTCCCATGTTCCTAGGGAGAAAACAGAAGACAACGCCGCAACCTGTCTCTTGATGGTGTTGGGTGTCAACTCTTTATCCAACCCATCCTGGAGGAACTCCAGGACCTGGGCCACCAAGGCTCTCGATGGATCAACCTGTAGCCTGGAGCACCAGGTACAGAAGGAACGCCAGGTTGCATTGTATATTCTAGAAGTGGATTGTCATCTGGATGCCTGAATGGTGTGGATAACCCTGGGAGAAAAATGTTTGCACCTCAGGGCTCGCCACTCAACCACCATGCTGTCAGTTGTAGCCACTGGGGTTGTGGGTGGATCAAGACCCTTTGGCTGAGATGGATCCTGTTGTCTGGGATTCTCCAAGGCTGTTCTATCAATAGACTCATCAGGTCGGCAAACCAGGGCCTCCTGGGCCAATGAGGAGCCAGAAGGATCACCTCCGCCTTTTCCTCTAACAGCTTCCTGATGAATGCTGGAATCAGGGGAAGAGGAGGAAAGGCATACAGAAGGCCCGGAGGCCAAGGTGAGTGGAGGGCATCTATCCCCTCTGCTGCCCATGTACCTGCTGAAGTACCTGCTGAAGAAGCAAGGGAGTTGAGAATTCTCTGGAGATGCAAACAGATCCAGGACCGGAGTCCCGTAGTGATCTGACAGCCACTGGAACAGCGAGGGATGGAGGCACTATTCTGCTTGATCCACCGTTGTCCTGCTGAGACTGTCTGCCTGTATATTCAGAACCCGAGATGTGGTCGGCCCTCAACGAAAAAAGGTGTCGCCCTACCCAGCAACCCAACTGACCCGCTTCTGCCATGAGGGACCTGGAATGTGTCCCCCTTTGTTGATGTGTGCTTTGGCCATCACATTGTCTGTTAAGACTAATACATGGTGACCAGAGATTGAGCCCTTGAAGGCCTTGAGAGCCAAATGAACCGCTCTGAGCTCCAGCCAATTGATCCTATGGGTCAGGTTCTCCTGGGTCCACCTGCCTTGGGCTAGCATATTTTGGCCGTGTGTTCCCCAACCAAAAAGGCTGGCGTCGTCGTGATGGTGACTTGGAAGGGTTCCTTGAACAGGCAACCCTTGCGGACTGCTGTTGATGTCCACCACTGGAAGAAATGCCATATGGTTAACGGGAGTCTTACCTTGTCCTGAGAGTTGCTCCTGCTGGATCTTTGATATGGCAGGAGGAGCCATTGCAGTGTCCTGGCATGTAGTCTCGCCCATGGAACTATGGCAATGCATGACATCATTTTGCCGAGGAACTATGACAGGAGTGATAGAGGAACTGTCCTCATGGCTATGATACTCTTGGCTAGCTGAGGTATGCTGTCATGCCTCTCCGGAGAGAGGGAGACTTGGCATGTTGTTGTGTCTATTAGGGCTCCCCGATGGAGCAGATTGGTTGTTGGAGAAAGGTGACTCTTCTTGTGGTTTATGGAGAAACCATGGTCTTGAAACTCTCTTATTGTGGTCCATAGATCTCTCTCCGCCGTCTGGCCAAAGAGGACTGGACCAAAATGTCATCCAAATAGCATTGGACTCTTATTGGGACTGAGTGCAGATGGACTGCCAAAGCCACCAAAATCTTCGTGAAGTCTCTCGGTGCTGATGAGAAGCCAAACGGCATGGCTCTGTACTGATAATGTCTGTCCGAATAGGCAAAATGAAGGAACTCTGTGTGCTGGTTTGATCTGTACATGAAGGTATGCTTCTGTTAAGTCTATTGAGGTGAGGAAGTCACCCTCGTGCATGCTGTCTA